TGGTGATCTTGGGAGAGTTTCGACAAGTTTATGCGTCGCGCAGTGACCGTTTATTTAGGCGTTCGTCAAGACTAAACCCAGGCTTGGGGCTAGTACTATTTGGTTATGGCGTCGGACTTTCATCGAAGAGACTCAAGGATCGAGACCGAGCGCCGACGATACGGGGAACGGAGTAGTGCGAGGGGACCAAGGGGTCGAGGGCCCGACGGGGCTATCCCCCTTGGTTTTGCCATCGGCGGCGTCCGATCAGTGGTGGCACTTTCTAAGTAATTCTTTTAGCGGCATATTTCTATTATTTTCTTGTTATGCTCTGGCGCGCCGTTGACCGCGATGCGACGCCAGTCTTAATGGTTGTCACGACAGTCGAGGACCTTGAGCATGCGCCTCCTCTGGTTGGCTCGCGGGTTCCGGTATGTGAGGGGTGATGGTGGAAATTATCTATCCTAACTATTCTGAAACGCGGACCGAGCGGTTTAACGTGCGGGCGGACCGTGTGGAGATCGGCCCACTGGGCGTAAGAAATCTGAGTGGCGGGGCCACTTTTTGTGGGTGCCGTCCGCCAATCGCTAATTGCCGCAAAAGGCTTGAACATGAGCATGCTAGGGGGGGGGCCTTGAAGACGGTTAGCTGTACCTAGGCGGGGCGGTCCAGGGCGCTGTGCGAAAGCCGCTACTGTGGCTGCCTACGAGGAAAGGCACCTCCCCGCGTCGGCCTCCGAGGTCCTCATTTAAATGTTGCTACTACCGCTAGGATCTGCGTTTGGGCCCGCCTTATCAGGGCTCTAGTCGTAGGCTTGGCCGTGGGCCGGGGGGTGTCTGTGGAATGGCACAACAAAGACCTGGGAGTGCCCATGGGACAGCACAATGAGCGGATTTGTCAGTTGGTTAAGACGGGTTTTGAAGCAGGGGCGAAAGGTTGAGCGAACCATCCACAGTAGGTAGTTCCCTCCGAAGTTGCCTTCAGGATAGCTGGAGCTGTCGGACGGCTTGTCGGGTGCCACTAGGCTTATCACGGCCGGGGGCACACGTCGTTGGCAGCGCGACAAGCCCGCCACCTCCTACTCATCGAGGAATGGGAGGCGCTCAATGGCCCGACAGCGGCCACGCGCTCCAGCGCCATCCATTTCCCGGGGGGGGGGGGCTGTTTGATCCGACAGGTGAGTATACGAACACTCCTTAGCGGATATCGACCACGGGCGCCGTCCTGCTGTCTGCATTGAATCCCCGTCCTTGTGGTGTCTGGGATAGCGGGCAGTCAGCGGCCTAACAAGAGGAGCGAGGTACGGAGGCAGTAAAAAGGAAATGCACCCAGACGCGCACTTGTGCCGGCTCCATTCGTAAACTAAGGGGGGGAAACAGTGGATATGGCTGGGCGAAAATGGAGGTTTCTCCTCCGACACTGAATGGAAACGGGCGAGGGAAGAGACGCTTCGGAGGTTATTGGGTAGGCGAACATGGAGATGAAGTTAGTTTTAGAAGAAACTTAGTAGATAAGGAGGTTAGTGAGAAAGTTGGTGCGCGGAGTAGTTGGGAAGGAGAAAGGGAAAAGGGCAAAGAAACGAGTACTCGGCCATTTCTTGGCCGTTTTCGATAAATTGAGATCGGACACTGGGGTTTTTGAGTAAGGCGAGTTCGGCTATGAAGTAAGTTTTTGAGGTGGGTTAGTAAATGAGAAGTTAATAAGAGAACAATGTGCATGGTGATGTCGGGAGGGTAGATATGATAGGAATGAAAGTCCAAGATACTGTTCGATTCTCGATGGACTCGAATGAGATAAAGAGTTAGGTGAAGGTTTGGGGAAGAGCGAATTCGTTGGTAAGGGCGGACTTGGAGGTGGAGTGGTGGAAAAAGGAAGACAGGGAAGTGAAAATGAATGTAGGCGCGAATTTGCGCCGAGTGCATTCGGAAGGAGACAATGGCAGGAGATCGGTGAGGCAATGGGGTCGGCTCATAACCCGCCCGTTTCCTGTCAGTTTTGGGCAAGAGAAAAGGCGACCCCGGGATTCCTGCCCCGGGCGAATTAGATGGCGGAGTCAGTTCGAAAGTAGGACGAGTGTAGAGTGAGGGTGAAGAGAAAAGTGTTACGTGGGAAGAGCAGTGAAAATAAGCGGGGGGGGATGTATCTGCCTACATTCTGGCGGTAGATTCATCCTTGTTTATTTGGCATAGGTGGTGATTAAGGAGGGAGATGAGGGAGCGCGTAGGAAAAACAAGAGCGTGAGGAGGGGGAGAGCAGCAAGGATGAATACTTACCTGTTGCTCGGTGCGTTGCTCACCCTTTCGATGGAAGTATCCTTTCGCTAGCATCTGCGTACACACCCAGGCTGGCAATGCGGGATGAACCAAACTCTGAGCTACCAGGCCAGACTGCGCCCTGACTTGGCCAAGGTGCGGGACCAAGTTCGTATGCAGTCACAGAGAGAGAGAGAGAGAGAGAGAGAGAGAGAGAGAGAGAGAGAGAGAGAGAGAGAGAGAGAGAGAGAGAGAGAGAGAGAGAGAGAGAGAGAGAGAGAGAGAGAGAGAGAGAGAGAGAGAGAGAGAGAGAGAGAGAGAGAGAGAGCACGATGGAACCGACGACAACGAGGAATGAAGAAGGGTGATTTGAGAGGGAGACAGAGCATACCTGATGTAGGCCGGCGGTCGACCTGGGTGACGACGTCCCGGACATTAGTCTTCGACTTCACTGTGATCCAGTGACATGAACCTAAATAGGCTAGCTAGGTTGAGTAGTAATGGCTGGTGTAACAGGGAACAGCCGTTTGGACCGCACTACTGGATTCAGAACCTGAAGTTGTTAGTATGATCGAGGGAGGCGGAGCACCACTCGTGCTGTTAGTCACTGTATGGATGTACAAAAGCACGCTGTTGTTGTTGAGCACGAACTGCAGTAGGAGGTGAACTGTGCAAGCATACGTTGCTAGCGGTCGGGCTACTGCTGATGGCAAACTGTGTTTTCTTTCCTCTAGTACGTAACTAGATGTCGAGGCTGCGAGTGTTATATTCCTACGACTGATTATGTACGGTTGGCTTACCGCCACGTTCCGTTTACCTTCGGCTGGCTACTGCGCACAATTGATAGGCGCGTAATATAGGCGAGTTGCTACGTATTTTGGGCTGCATAGCAGTGCGGGTTTGTTGCCAAACATCTGATTGAGTGAAGTTGAAGTCGGTGTTGCAGTTCCTTCATACCAGCCTAGGCGCAGGCGTCGGAGATAAGAGAGGGAGATAAAAGAGCTTGCTTGGTAGGTATCTACTAGGTTCGTGCGGCTGGATGGGAACGCACCACCCCTCGCGGTTGTTCAGATGCTCGCATGATGTTGGACTGAACAACAGGGTATCTGCATACTGAGGGAATTTGCATTTGATGCGAAGTGTTCGGGGAAAGTCGGTGTAGAGAAGGTGAAAAGGAAAGACAGTTGCCTGCTGGAAACACTGTCTGGGTGATCAAGAGGAGATTACGTTTTGTTAGAACGGCCTTACTGCTGCCGTAAGGAGGGGCTGAGTTGACGAAGGGGAGTATTGTTGCGAACTGGAGGGGCGTCAGAGAGCCAGATAGTTGGCAGTTTGACTTCAGTTTGAGAAAGCAGTTGTGCATCTGGCCATCATTGCGGGGCCCTCAGGCGAATCAAGGCAACAAGGCCCTCTCCTGGGAGTTGAGTCAGTCTCTCTCTTGTGTCTCGAGAGTCCCAAGCCTCTACTTCTGCCCTTCTTACTCTAAGTCTAGTCTGTTGGTTACGAGAGGAAGGCGGCAGGCGGGATTGCAACCCGTAGGACCTCATCCCACCCACCGGTTGCGGGAGCTCTGCCGGAACCTAGCCGAGGTTCTGGAGGCAGGGAATTGACAGGTATATCTTTTTCTGTCTGTATGACCCCACTATACCCATGTTTGGTTATCTCGCTTTAGTTTGACTGATGTATGCATGAGATTGCCCCTATGATTTGTTTTCTTTCAGTACTTAATCAGACTGAATGGAAGGAATGTGTGTGTGTGAAGCTTAAGTTCCTCTTTGTTTTGATTGAAGTCGCGCTTGGGACCTCAGCCCCCCGAGATGCCGGTTCGAGTGCGGGTTCGATAGAGGCGTACTACCGTGCGTACCCCCTATGCTACAACGAACGAGAAACGCCCTCGGTTGGTCCACCTCTGCGATTGCAACTGATCAACTTTCGTACTGTGGACTGGTAGCTCGACCGGGATACACCCACCAAAGGGAGGTGACAACTCCCGTAAGGTGGAGGTAAGTCGTGCCTCGCGTAGGCCCTATCCTGTCGTAGGGGCTCACGAGAGGTATGGCTGGCGCACTCAGCCGGAGCGGCTTGCGGAAGCTCCATATGCATTTGCGACGAGGATCAAACCAACTCCTGCGTGACGCGGCCGGGAGGGTCCCGCGCTGCCTTGTGCGGTGCCGGACCGATGCGCTCGACACTGTCCTTCACATCTATTGGCATTTTTGGTCCGCTGGAATAGATTGGGGACGATAGCCACCGCTCCATCTTGGTTCCAACACCTGATCCCTGTTTTTCACAACCAAGCACCGACCCCAATTCTTGGGTCGGGTCAGCCTACATCCTGGATGAGAATATTTTAGATCCCTCATCAAGGTCTAGCCTAGTCTACCTCCCCATTCTCAAATTCTATACTTCCTAGGATTCCCTCGAACGACCCCCTTTTACCCAAGCACATTTTGTTGGTTCCTTTCAAAGCTGACCTCTTATCTCTTTCCCTCATGGTCTTCACTCACTCGTGCAGACTTAGGCCAGGGTGGGAATAAACTTAGAATCTTGGCCTTGCCCAACGGCTTAATGTCTCAATCAACTTTACAGAGGGGGATACAAAATACGAAAAACTCAGGCAATCTCACATACAGTCACGGTCATCTCCTCACAAGTCTCTTTCCAAAGTGGTTTCTCCACTGTTACCATCGGTAGAGTTTTATCCCATACCTAAATCAAAGTTCAATCGTCGCAAGCGCGGTACCTGAACTCCGACACAGGGTATCACACCTCTCCGTTTGCCCAGAGCACCCCATCCCGTCTTGCCGTCCTCTACACCCCCATTGGCACCGGGAATCATCTCGCGCACCCCGGTAGGAGCAAAGATTAGCCGCCCGGGCATTCACATCCATTGGTCCGATAAGAGTTAGCCTTTCCCACGTCGTACTTCAGGACGCTACTAATCGTCCCCGAGGCGCCCTCCTTGCCCCACATGCAGTGGCCTTTCCTCCGTCTGCTGACAAGCAGCCGCCCCAACCAAGGAAACGTTTCGCATCCCGCCTGGGCAAGGTGTCGAGCCATGCTCGGTCCGCCCAGGAGAGAGTGCTACTAATCAACCGCCGAGACCAACCCCTGCCAAAATCCTGGTGGACCAGCCTCCCCCACATGAGACAAAGTGGCACTTGAAAGAGACGGCGTTTTGCAACCCTCCCCAGCGGGTTCAGACCCACTCCTTCCTTCCGCAGGCAGCACGCTCAATTTCCCCTCATGCAGATCACAAGTCCCAAGTGGGACACACATAGTACAAGTGCCTTTCCCATGGTGCATCCAGCGCGTCCTACCCATACCTCGCATTATCTCTCAGGACCGTGTGTGCCACTCCCCCTATTGTCCATAAACAGTGACTGGTTCCTTTTCGTGAGCATCTTCAAGGGTGAGCTAGTTTTCCTTGGAGTCTAGCAACTCCCTTCATTCCCATGCTCTTCCTTCGTTTGTGGATTCATAAGGCAGGATTGTTCTTTTCTCGATTATTGTTGCGTTCATGTTGATTCCTTTAAGCATCTCAAGTGTATAGTGCATGGGCCCACTGGGCCCAAAAGAAGAAGAGAGAAGAGCACCCAGCCGGTCGGATCACTCCGCCGCGGGATTTTCATTGGACCGCGACCAAAGTCGAAGCACCAACCGCGTGCCAGGTAACCAGAGCCCTTCTTTCACATGAAGAGGAAGGGTCGACCTGCGACTTGCCGCCAGCTTCTCCGGACTGGCGAACACCAGCACCGGAGGAAGGGGGCTAGAGCCACTGCACAAAGGAGTGAGCTGATCAAGTGTGCATCAAGCATGTTATACTTCCGGGCCTGGCCATGCCATGCGCCCAACGACTCTCAAATCTGATTCTCTCAAAGGGAAGAGCAAACGCAAGTCCTCATTTCCTTCTCTTTGGTTGTGTACACAGTCCTTCGTTGGGCACCCCCCACCAGGATGGTAAGGGTCAGTTTAACCCCCTGCCCGTCACCTCCACCATTTTTGTAGGACTTGAACCCCGTTAGACTTTCGAGCCTGTGTCGACCCCACTGCGGGTCCCCGTTGGCTCAGCCCGCCCACGCGCATGCTCAGGGCGCGGGCCATTCGTCACAGGGTCACCCCCACCTAGTGCTTTGAGATGGATCGGGGTGGGCCATCGAGCGAGAGCGCTTTAACATTGGGGATGTAGCTCATCCCTCACGCCGGGTGGTAGTCTCGCTGATCTTTCCGCAAGCGTAAATTTCCCTGATTCTTAGATGTTTCGCAGACAATTACTCCTTCCAATACTCGAGCAGTCCAGGGGTCCTTTGAGAATTTCTCTTCTTTTGTGCGTAGGCTAAGCGTCATCCTTAGGCCACGCACCATTTCCCTAACGCAACCGTCCTACGACATCATCGGGCCGCGGCGGCGCCGTCTTCCCCTTTTGCCCCTATGTACTTCGGCGATTCAACACATTCCATTCATGTCTTTGGTGCCTGCCCCTTAGTCTTTTCGAGGCCACCATCCGCATACAAAGGGCTACATCACGTTCCAATCACTCAGGACTTCACTCATCTCTCATTCCGCACTCGAGGTCTCATACACAAAGGCCCATTCATAAGTAGAGTTTACACTAAGGGCCCCTTGGCCTTTTACCCTTTCCCATTTCCTTCGCCGCTCGGCCTACCCGGCCCAGTCCCGCTCAAGACTTCCCAATGCTACTCGCCTGCACAGTCAAATGCAAATGCAAAGACCGATACAATCCCCATTGGGGTCAACACATAGCCCTTCCCACATGCCTAAGTTCTTTCTTTGCCCTTGACTTCCTTCCATTCCCTTTCTTCTGCCCAGTCAATCCATCCACTTCCTTTAGTCATGCAGTCGGGGTTCTGGTTGAGTCAACTGACCTTTCTTTCATTCACCAATCTCTTTCTTTGGTCCAAAGACAACTGACCTTTCTTTCATTCACCAATCTTTTTCTTTAGTCCTCTTTGGACCAGTCCGCTTCCGGTCTCACAGCGTTTTGTGCTCACTGCTCTCAAGTGTTCCCTTCTTTTTTTCCTTCTTGGTGGCACAAGGGACCGCCTGTCCTCCCCTTGCCCTCTTTCTCCACCAAGTGAGGTCAACTTTCTTTCACCGTTCGTCGCCTGGCAAGTAAGTGGGAGAGGTTAGTCGCACGCCAAGAGGGAAGGGGTAAGGATTGGACTTGGGATACGAGAGAGGTAATGGGGACGGAGAACCAAAGGAACAAACGGGGAAGAGGGAGAGAGGGAGAACTTAGAGGGAGAGGGAGCGCACGTGCGTGCGTGCGCGCGCGCGCGCGCGCGCGCGCGCGAGAGAGAGAGAGA